TTAGGGTTTAGGGTTTAGGCGTTGGACTTACAGCCCAACGCCAACAAGCCTGGAGCTAATCTCAAGAATAGTGTGACAAGTTCATGTAGGACGCAGGTAGGTGTAGTTGTTATGCAAGTAATAGCCATTGTTTTGTATTTACGACTGGCAGTTGCTATTAAACTATGAAATCGTAGCTTTTAATTGATTATTAACAGCATTGCTATGACAGTTTTCACGATTGCTACTTGGACGATTGTGAGTACTACTGTTATGGCTTATGCTCTGGCTATCACTAGCTCATATTATGAACGAACTAGTCGTGACTGTCATCAGTCATGATCAGTCATTTTTATCACCTATCATTGCTATTAATATTTTTCTTCTTCTTATTATTAGATACTATTTTGATTATATTATATATATATATATATTGTATTATAATATATTGTAATAATATATCACTGTTATTATGATGACTCTTCTTCTTCTTCTTATTTTTGTCATCACCCATTATTGCTACGACTGCTACCATGCCGGCCGAGGATGCCTGTGGCAGCTTGGCGACACCAGATTTGCAGTGTCGACTTCGCTCGGGTTCTTCGGGCTTTAGGGGTTTATTGGGCTTTGGGTTTTGCGGTTTTGAGTGTTTCGGGTTTGTAGGGTTTTGGGGTTTTAAAATTTAGGGTTTAGGGTTTAGGGTTTATGGGAGGTTCAGGTCTTATGCGCTGTCGGACGGCTCACGAACCCCAACATACAACAACCGCGGAGCCGGAAGCATCAGGAAAGCCTCATGTAGACCCTCAAAGTCGGAATAGAAGGAAAGCCCCCCTCCCGCACAAAAAGAAGCAGGCTATGAGTTTGCGTTTTAGGGTTGAGATTAGGGGCTTCATAGGAGGCTGGGGTGTGATTTTGGAGTTGAGGATCTAGTACCCTAAACCTAGACCCTAAGCCCCTAAACCCTAAACCCTAAACCCTAAACCCCTAAACCACTAAACCCTAAACCCTAAACCCTTGCTCCGTTGCTGCTTTTCAGCTCGCCTTGTCGTACTTGGGTAGAAGTTTTGCATTCATCCTTCAGACCGGACACGCCTACTTAGGGTTTAGGGTTTAGGGTTTAGGGTTTAGGGTTTAGGGTTTAAGATGACTTACAGTTTCTCGTCCGGTAGAGCACATGGCCAAGCCCTGCCGCCCGAAGCAATCAGACCCCCTCTTTTATCTGAAGGCAGCTTTCTCAACACTGGGAGCCATCTACCACGTCGGCGACAGCCCCCTGGACTCCGAGAGTGTTTGAGCGCTAGCCTCGCAAGACTAGATTACAAGACTCTTTTGGGGACCGTTGTGATTTAGGCTAGGGCTTGGGGCTTGAAAAGAATAAATAAATAAACAAATATATATATATATATATATATACACACACATCTATATGAATATCATGGTCATTTGTGTGCCATTTTCTGATGTTTGAAATTTCCCATGATTAAATGGCAATTGCTGGCAACAGCAAACTTGCCGCGCCCTTTGTGTTGCAGAAGCATTCTGACACTGTTGCCCCTGGGCCCTGACAACATCCAACGAAACTCATCGTTTGAAGCAGAAGGCAACCATTGTCGGATCACAGCGGATGAAAACCATGACTACCAGGCTGACAGTGGCGATGGTGACGATGACGATGACGACGATGTTGGGTGGTGGCCAAGATGGAAGACGGTCATGATCGTGTCTTTATATGCTTACAAGGACTGCCAGTACAGGAGGAAACAGTTTAGGATCCGGGAACCCGCCGAAGGCAAGAGCCACAACAAGAATGAAGAGTTCCCAGAAGCTCAGGATTTGTAATCTACTGTGGACCCTCTGCACAAAGCTTCGCTGCATAAGGAGTCCTCGAAAGGGGTTCCCAAACTCACGCAAGCCCGTGGTTTATGTTTCTTTGGGGGGGGGGGGGGCGCTAGCCTTTCTCGCTGGGTGTGCCAGGTATCCGGATGCAAGTGCAGAGGCTGCTCGGCGGCAGTCAGAGCTCGAGGCTTTGAAGGTTTTATGTAATCCAACAACCATCTGATTCCCCAAAAGGTCGCTATGCTATCCTTACTCCCCAAAAGGTCGCTAGAACTGTCAGCGTCTCATTGCACCCTCCTCATCATCCAGTCTCCCAGGGTCGAGGGTTCGGACGTTTGGCCTTCAGGGGTTGGGGTTCTAGGGTGGATGAATCGTCGGGCTTTCTACTTTTAGGCACTTTAATTACAGGTTTGCGGGTTCTGGGTTCGTCGCGACCGACTTGCACCAGCACAGTCATAAGAACGAAAGTTATAGAGTGCTGGTGCTGATCGTGATGTTCCGTAGGACCGTAGGATGGGAATCAGAGCAAGTGTCGGAAGAAAGCTCATGTCTGCCGGCATGCCACTGTTGTTTGCGTGACCATCGTCGTCGACGGTTGTGATGTTGCTCATATTGCTAACAATATCAGGAGTAAGCATAGTTTTCCTGCAAGGTTTATCAATGAAAGCCTTGGTGGCGCTTCGAACCTCTAGCCATGTTTCTGATGATAGTCAGAACACCGAGCAATGCCAACTTGAGGAAAAGGGGTTTTATGTTCTTGCGGGGCATGGCTCAGGTATAATACAGGGGCCTGAATCGGCCTGAATGGTTATAGTAGGGTTTTGTGCACTGTAGCAGCTATACTTGGGTTTTGTACCTCAACATTTGCGGCGGACGAGACTGTGGGTTTCAGTTTTTTTTTGCCGTGTCGGGGCGCGGTGGCTTGATTTGTGTGTGTGTGTTGTCTTTGATGCTTGCGTGCTGCTAGGGCGTCAGGGTTGTATTGGTTGACGATCGGAGCCACCAGGATGGATGACGGCGAAGTCGACATCTACGAGGAGGCTTGGGACAAGTACACGGACCAGACCGAGGATGTGGCGACTGGCCATCACAGAATACCAAGAAGCTTTCGTAGTTGGTCGTTCCAGTTCCTATACAAGTACATCTACACACCCAAACCCCTGCATCTCCCAAACCCCTGCATCTCCAGGGTTGTGAGCTATGGGAGAAGGTTTGGGATTCGGACGTACATTATATATATATATATGAGAGAGAC